GTAACTGTGGGAGATTTGGAACTAGTTATACCTTCTCCAACATATTTCTGAGGGCTCCTCTGTGTGCTTTTTGTACACCACGAGCTACCAATGCGTAACTGAACACGTGCCAGGTATAGACACCAGAGTGTGTCTCGTGCAAGGTACACAAGATGCAAAGTGTATGCAAACACTTAAAGGCTTATTGTTCCAAATGTTTTCGTAGTTGTTCCTCCCCAGCTTATTTTGGCCTTGCATGCATTACAAATTTCAAGCTTTGTATCTTCTTCGCTCACAGTAAAGACCTTGAACGGCAACAACATTTCATGCGTGCGGCTGTGACGTTACTGTCTGTGCCACTGTGTATGCAACGTGAACCGTCATATCTGTAAATGTGACCAGCAAAGAATCAGAAATCTCAGACTGATTGGCCAGTGACAGCCAGTCATGCAGAAAACGACCAATTCCAGTCTCCAGCCGATCAATCAGTGCATCTTTGCTTTAACTGGTACTGCACATACATTATGCATACTGTATACATACTGCCCTGGTAATGGCTAAGAATATACACAACATTTGAACAGAATTGGACCGCTACACTTAGTGGCTTTCATTGAGGTGTTAAAGCAGCAGAGCACCTTTTGCATTTATTATCCAAAATAGCACCGAGGGCTTAATAATGTAGGTTAACCAATTTTAAATTTCCTACCTCATGTCGACCTCATTAAATGTAGTCAACATAGCGCAGGTGTTTTGCGCTTCCTTCAGTCTCTGGGCAATTCTCAGTCTCATGCGGTTCATCTTAACCTAAATTACAAAAACAGAACTGTTAGAAATATCAGTCTCAATAAACTGTTCCCAACTCTAGTCTAGACCATTCAAAAACATAAAAGACACCCCCATTTATGTTGAGATACTGTGGTGATTTTTGCACTTTACCCTGCTCTCTGTTCTGGCTGCTTTAGCACCTCCCTCTACTTGGGCCCCTGTTGTAACTGGAGCAGCAGTGGGCTTGATGGCTGAAACTATGGAAAAGTCAAAGAAACAATTAGTATCTCTAGACATCAGTTTAGTGGAACTAGTAAAGGCCTCCGCCTACAGAAAGCGTAACAGTGATTAAATATGTGAGCTGGAGGTCAAGGGCACAAATGTCAAGCAACACAGTTCTCACATGACAAAGACCGTCTGTCTGATGACAACTAACCTGGTTTGGTGTCCATAGCATGTGCTGGCACAGGTGGCACTGGGGGCATAGTGGTGGGAATGGGGCCCACAGCTGAGGGTGGAGGAGAGGGAGGGGGAGGTGGAGCAGCAGAAGGCGGTGGAGGGGCCGCAGCAGCCGGAGCCTCGGTTTTTGGAGCTTCTGCAGCTTTTAGAGCACCTGCTAAAGACACAGAGGTGAACAGAACAATACAGGTTTAAAAGTGTTTTCATAATTTAAGAAATTAATTGAGAGAGGTTAAACTCATTACAAATATTCTTAAATTCTTCAGATGCAGAGGTCAACCAATCAAAGTATAGATCACCCAGAGGCAAAATTTCAGATGTTGTGACTAGAGAGCAACTGAAAGATACCTGTAAGAGAATCAAATTTTGCAGTAAGGGGCTGATAAATTCCAATAACCAGCAGCCTATCACAATTATCACTTTTCCAAAAGAGAGATTTCTAGCTAGAAATTCAAAAGATTTTGCTCTAGACACAGAACTAACAAGAGTATTATGAAAGCATTTTTTCACAAAAGTTGCTACAGCTCCCCCTCCAGTAGACCTGTCACAGCGAAATACACTGAATTCTGCATCCTTATCTATTTTATCAGTTAGCCAAGCCCCTGAAAGCACAAGAATACCAGCATTTGTTTTCTGTGTATCACACAGTCCAACATTGATTGTAGGCTGCATAGATTTATATGTCTAACACCAAGACCCTTATGATGAGACAAACTATGAATATCCAGATCAATGTTCTGATCTAAGCACTGCAACCGCTTGCCTGATTCCATCCTTTCCATTAGAGCATTCAGAGGAAGAACACAGACACCAGTACAAACCTTGATTACATTACCTAACTCAGACATCTACATATATTCACTCACTATGACAGCAACTTTAAAAACAGGTTCATCACAGCAAAATTTCAAACTTGTCAATCATCAAGTACGAAACTCTTTTGCAGATTCAAGCACAAGTCCCATGTTACATGACAGTAGCTGGGTGCCATGCAGATTTAGAGGTCTCTCTTCAGCAAAGCAAACCAAGGGCTCAGATCAGTGTGCAGTCATTTTCTGTCCTTTTCCATCAGTGGGATCTCTAGGTGTGCTATGATCCAGCTAACCAACCTGAGTCACCACAGTTCATAAATTGTGGCATGTTTACAGACTGTTGTGGCTCAATAGGACTAATATCGCCAGCTATCATCTACATTAACTTATAATAACCTTTCTGCGCACATTGTAACAACTTGTTTTGCACAAAGAAAACATTTACACACCAAGCAGTCCAAACGGAACCACTTAAAACAAGTAACCTCTGTATACATGTAACATTAACACAGTTGTACATTTTTGCTAAGAAAAGAAGCAAATACAAAGATCAATCTTGGATTTTCAGGCATCAATAACTGAAAGGTTCAAAGAATTGCAATTAATCAGAAAATTGATATTTGTACTGTACATAGCCCTACAATATTATGTTGTGTTTTCTGTAAAAATCCAGTACCACACACCTCCTTTTCTAAGCTTGAAGAGGGGTGTTCCTCCCTCAACCTTCCCTCCATCAGGGACCAAAAGCTCCTCAATCACTCCAGCAGCAGGAGAAGGAACCTGCACCGATGTCTAAGAGCAGGGGGGGAAAAGAAATAAAAATCAATCTCGAGCTTGAAACAGAAGTGTAAAAAAAAAGTCCCAGGATATTTTCTATATATCATATTCTTTTGTGATTTGGCTGGTGTCAAACTACCGAACGCATGCATTTTATTTAAGTTTGCTGAAGTGTAAACACACAAGTTCAATGTTTTTGTTACAGTTTTACTAAATTATTGAAAAATATTTGAAGGAAACTGTCACTGCATGCTGATGTGGAGGCAAACGTTATTTATGATAAACAGCCACTGTCATTCATGCTGAGCAACATACTGTATTTTAAAGGCTTTCACTTCTGTATGCAAAGCAACCAGCAGTCACAAACACTATCATTTTTTAAAGGGAATTTACTTAGTTTTACCTTATCGGTTTCAATTTCGCACACCACCTCATCCTCCGAGACTGTGTCTCCAACAGCTGTAAAGAAAAAAAACTTTGTTTCAGCATCTGAACACAAAACAACTACCTTCTGCTTTACTTCAGCTGTGATTTGTGCAACTAAGAAAGAAAGTCACTTTCGGCTTTTCCCGTTTAGGGGTCGCCACAGCGAATCGTCACACTGGCGACTCGCATGTTGACATTTGGCACGTGTTTTACGCCGGATGCCCTTCCTGATGCAACCCTGATTCGAACCCGGGCCGCAGCGGCGAGCGCGCTGCATCTTAACCACTAGCCTACCAGGGACGGCTCCTGCATCAGAAGCAACTAATGCATGTTTATTAAAGAAAAACATGCAGTTACCTTTATCCCACCTTACATCTCCCTCTGTGACAGATTCTGCAAAAGCTGGGGTCTTGACTGTGACAACTTCATTTCCTGGAGGACAGAGAGTCAAAGGAAATGCATTTCTTCACTCCACGCCTCAGCAGTTGCTTTTTATGGTCAGATAAGTGTATAAATGAAAGGCATGCAGGTTAAAACATACTGTAGGCTACAGATGTCCTGAAGTACTGAATTTGGAAGACACTGGGCCACGGATCAGATTTTCTGAAAACCACAAAAAAATATCAAGAACACTCAGAGAGCGCATGCACCTCCGCCAGAGCACAACATTGGCTCATGCAAATGGGTCCCCTGTGAAAAACGAGATTCAGAACACCACAAAATGGGTCAGAAAAATCCTCGATAAGGATTGGATCTGGATCATCTTTTAGGCTGTGATAAGCAATTATACTCTGCATCTTACATAAACATTTCAGGGTTCTACCTTCATTATAAACCAAGTTATGGCAGAAAATGTGTTTAATGTGGTTTGCAATGTTAACCCTAAATGGCCATCAAATCCAGAATCCAGATCAGATCTGGATGAAGTTTGGTTTGGTAACAGACATCGCCGCCCTAACATTTAACCATAACATGATTTTTTTTATTTTGTCCTACGTTAAAGATAAGAACTTTGACATTTTTTGTGACCTTGACCTTTGACCTTTTCTGGCAAGTATGCTGATGGTCCATCCAGCTGTTTATCCATAATTGTGCTAACCAACACACACACACAACCAAAATCATAACCTCCTTGGCAAAGGTAAAAATGAGCTGAAAAGTAAAAGGGCTATGACTATGTCAGCTAAGGTGACACCTGAGGGGCTGAAGATGGTCTATTAAAGCAAACGTATTCATTAGGTCTATGGTAAATGGTCTTATACTTGTATAGCGCCTTTCTATGCTTTTACAGCACACTCAAAGCGCTTTCACATTATTGGGCCATTCACCCATTCGCACTCCCAAGCACTCACGCATTCACACACCGGTGACATCACCGGGAGCAACTGGGGGTTCAGTGTCTTGCTCAAGGACACCTCGACATGTTGACTGGACAAGCCGGGAATCGAACCGCTAATCCTCCGGTTAGGAAGCGACCTGCTCTACCTCCTGAGCCACAGCCGCCCCTAACTGTAACTATAACTGTAAGGTGTGCTTAAATTCTAACTGCAAGGTTCACTGTCTCTAAAACAGTCTGTAGTGTTTTTCGTGTGTGTATACTTACAAATTGTTGTTGAGTGTGATAGAATGGCTAGCTGATAGAACTGTTGGAGAATTGACAAGAGAAGCATGTAAATGATGTCTTGCAGCAGGATTATCCAAAAGCAAAGACTGGTGTTTAAGACTCCATGCTTTAACAATAAACATGTATACCTGCCGTGGCCCGACGAGCTAACACATTATTCCCCTGTGAAAAGATACAGTGAAGCATTACAAATTGTCTCCAACTTTTCAAAAGTGAAGCTTTGCTGGAGGGGGCTCTTCCAACATGTCAGAAAAATATGCACCAACAAGTTGGCTAATATTGATATAAAATTAAACAACGCTGAGAGTGTTGTGCAGTTCAGACTGCACACAAATGCCAAAGGAGTCAGCAACAGGAAGAGAAACCAGTGCTGACAGTCAAAGGTCACCTCTATGCACTAAAGAGAAACCTTTGACATAATTAAAATGATCTGGCAAGTAGCATGTGCGGTTTTGCATGTGAACTGAACCAGCAAATGCATAAAAGATTTTATTTATTGCGCGTTTCTCTTTTATATAAGAAATACACACTATGAAATAACATATGGAATTATGTAAGAAGAAAATACATGCAAAATATGTTTTCATTTTAGTTTCTTCAAAGCAGTCAACCTGGCATGGTCTTGGCTTTCTCTCAACTGGCCTCATAGTCACATGGAACACTTTTCCAGCAGTCTTAAAGGAGTTTTCACATATGTTGAGCACTTGTTGGCTGCTTTACCTTCACTTATATTGCATTGTTCTTTTTCTTGGTCAAATAGCCCTTACTTAGCCTGGAGGTGTGTTTTGAGTCTTTGTCCTGTTAAAAACATTAACTGATGTCAGCTCTAATCTGGGATGGTATTAACTGGCAATTTCTGAGGCTGGTATGAATCTATCCTACATCGCAGAGGTAACCCTTGGTCTTCCTTTACTGGGACAGTCCTCATAAGAGCCAATTTCTTCTTAGCAGGGGATGGTTTTTGTAACAGAACTGAAATTTTCCAGACTGACTAATCTTCATGTCTTAAAGTAAGAATGGACTGTCATTTCCCCTTAATTATTTGAAAGGTTGTTGTCATAACATGCATTACTACAGTAGTCAAATATGGGCTATTTGCTGTATATCTACTATGGCACTAACAGAGCTGGCAATCTCAAACATATTAAGGAAGCAAGAAACTCCCCCTGACAACTTTTAAAAAGGCCAACTTGTTAAATTAAAACCATTCCAAGTGACCACCTCACAAAGCTGGTTAAGCTATTGACAATAATGTGCAAAGCTGTTATCAAGAAAAATAGTAGCTAGTTTCATTTTTCATATCAATGTGAAAAGTATTTTTGCTATGTTTACAAGTTATTGCTTACTGCTACATAATTCCTTGTATCATTACATAGTCTTGCCGAAAATTTACAACCAGAGCTTTAATGATATTTGACTTTGGTTTTCATGCAACCAATCTAAATACTTCCACTTTGTAGTTTGCTCATAAACCATAATATGACCTCACAAGACTACTAAAAGCAGGCAGCTAACCTACCCGTGCATTAGCATGCCTAATGGTACTGCATGTTCAAGCTAACTGCATAATTAAACATTATTGGATAAGTTGCCCTTAACTTTACATAAACATGGACTGGTACTTTTTGCTTAGGTCAAACACCTAAAACATTCGCGTCAAAACAAGAGACCAACCCAAAGCAGAGGACATTGTTTGAACTATGAGGGAAAAGTGTCATACTGTCCTTGGTTTACAATGTTACGGCCTGTCCGTGGCCTGCAGCAGCCAGCCGGCTAATGCTAATGCTAGCACTAACAGAAATGAACTGACAGAAGCTACGACTCCACCCGCAACCAGAGACAGCGACAAGTCCTGTTGCGAGTGGTAGTGACATCGTTTTATGGCATGTCGCCTACCTGGCGGATAGCAGAGAGGGAACGGCCAAAATTTCTAGTGAGACACCGGGAATGGGATAGCATGGTGTCCGTGTGACAGCACCCTGTCAACGGAAGAGCAACTTCGGTCACACCAGCAAACTAGACATGCGCAAAAACCAAGGAACTCGTGTGGGACAAACCAAGTGCTCCGAATTTGGGGGGAAATAACTTCTGTGGTCCCTTCTGTCCCCTTGCGTCTACGGGCTACTGAGTAATGTAACAATCTACAAATAAATTGTAAATATAGTAAATATGGCTTCAACCATCTTTTACAGATAGCGTACAGGTAATATCATATCATATCATATCATATCATATCATATCATATTATCGCACAGAGCACACAGCATTGTAAAAACATAAATATAAAAAAATAATAAAATAACGTAATAATAATAAGTTAAAAAAAACTTTAACAAATGACAAATTAGATTAAGCCTACCTACCCATCTTTGGGTTGGTAGGCTTAATCTAACAACAAAGATGCTGTAGCCTATAAAGCAGTCAGTCACCTATTTTTTACGTTATGATTATATTTGTAATTTAGGCCTACCTTATTGTAAAGTTCGAGTGATAAAGTTGTTTTTTAGTCCTTTCTTCTTTGTGTTTAGGTGTTCTGCGTCTGTTTCTCTGCTGGGGAACCTGCCCTTCGGAAACAAATAAAGTTACTGAAGGGCTGAAGAATATCAGTAGACTGGCTACATACAGGTCTTACATGAAGTACAATGTGCTGACCATGTTGTTCCTTCCCAGTTATATTAGCACAGAATTATAGAGCTATGAACATTGATGAATATTTCCAAATTGCCCAAAGCACTGAATGAGCTTCAGGTCCATCACCTTTGATACCCAACCAGTAACTAATTGCTCACCTAACAAATACTTTCTTTGGACAATATAGCCTATGTGGATGATGAGCATCGCTTGCACATGGCCACGCCCCAGCTCCGTTTGATGCATCCACTCCCCTGCACTCCCACTGTTCACCTCACAGTCAGCGCAGGCCATCGGCTCGACAGCACGTATCAGCGCAACAGGTAAGGTCCCATCACTGCCGCTCACTATGTGTGGAATGTGGTTAAACTGCAGCCCTGCAGAAGTATGTCAAGGTGCACGTCTGCAGACCATTGCGTTTCAGACTCATCACTTTCAGTCTAGTGGTTTTTAATGAGAGAGATCTACGCTCGTGGGTGTTTTTGACACTTTCACAGATGCTTTTACAGCTAATAACTATATTCACTTTAGGCGAGTTATGAATGGAGTTAAGTGTTTGACTGTTTCAGGTATTGTAACTCAAAAATTAGAATTATGTATAACTTTTTTTAGGTTAAAAGTAGACATAAAGCTGTACTTCATTTGATATAGTTCCAATCAAAAATTTGTAGAAATCGTTTTTTTTTTAATTTCAGATGTAAATATGTTGTTCTTCGGAAAGTGAGCATCAGCTAATGCATCATTTATCCTCAAAGCAGTAGTTGTACATGTTATATTGCAATGTTATATTGCAAAAAATATAGACAGTGTAAAGAATAAAGAAAACAAAATAACTCACTGTCTACAAATTATAGGAGATTTAAATTATGCCAAACGTTGCTTTGTTTATGCTCTTATAGAAGTTTGAGCTTTTTCCCAAAGTCTCATTTATAGCTTGTTAAAGTAACAACATAAGTGACTTCTAAAACTTAGCACATTTCTGATATAGAATTTATTGCATAGAAATATAATGTAGAGTCCACTCCACTTGTATGTACACCTGGTTTTTGAAATTAATTTGTTTTGTGTTATATCACAAAAGAATTTCATAAAATGGCACTCAAAGGGAATGAAGCCAGTGACCACAGAACTGAGCTTTCTATTTTTACTAGTGAAGCTCATCCTAAAAAACAAAAAGCTTTTCATTATACATATTTTCTCTTGTAAATAATAGATGCACAGAACGTTACTTATGCGTGGACTGTGTCTTCAGGGGCATATTCGGTTCTTCTTTTTATCTCTTGTGTTAACCATTGTTGCAAACTCAAGATGAAAGGATAAAAGCTAAAGCTAAAACTGCCTGAAGTTCACCAAACAACCAAACAAAAATTAACCAAAGACTAAAAATGTGTGTAAATTTATTTTAAAACATGCCTTTTCAAGTAATAGGTTAAATATATTTACTTACAAATTTTCTGAAGCTGTGCAAGTAAATTAAGCCTTGAAAATGGATGCAGTTCCCACAGGTGTTCCAACTTTTGTTGATTACTTAAAACAACAAATTCTACCTATACAGTGACAGTGCTGGAAAATACTGTGTTCTTACACCCGCTCCAGCATTCTTTGCAAAAAGGAAATTAACAAAGGAATTCAAACCTTTTCAGTGTTTCATCCTATACTGTAGCAGAAAAAACAGACAGTGTAGAAGAAAAGCAACCTACTGTACATTTTAAGGGAACCTCCGCAACAATGCTATCTATATAAAACAGTATTTTAAAAACAAGAAGTATAAATGTAAAACATGTTTTAAATTTTAGATTCTTCAGAGTAGCCACCTTTGCTTGTTTTTGGCTTTCTCTCAACCAGCTTTTGCAGCCTTGAAGGACTTCGAGTTCCCACATATGCTGAGCAGTTGTTGGCTGCTTTTCCTTCACTCTGCGGTCCAACTCATCCCAAACCATTTTGCTTGGGTTTAGGTCTTGTGATTGTGGAGGCCAGGTCATTTGATGCAGCCCTCCATCACTCTTCTATTAAGTCAAACCTCCATAGCCTGGAGGTTTGTTTTGGGTCCTTGTGCTGTTGAAAAACAAGTGATGGCCCCACTAAGCACAAACCGGATGGGGATGGTGTGCTGCTGCAAAATATTGTGGTGACCATGTTGATAGTGGCTGAGTTTGGGGACTGTCATCAGTCAACCCCCACAGCATCACTCCTCCTCTATGCTTTAGTGGTGTGAACCACACATTCAGATTACATCTGTTTACTTTCTCCGTGTCTCAAAAAGACATGGGACCCAAAAGCTCAAATTTGGACTCATCAGACCAAAGTACAAATTCGGTTTATTGTCCATTCCTTGAGTTTCTTGAGTTTATTCCTACTGATCTCCTTCAGTAGAGTTTTCTTTGCAGAAATTGGATTATTACAGCTTGATTCACGCCGTCTCCTCCAAACAGTTGATGGTGAGATGAGATGAGAACCAGTTTGGCTAGTGCTGGTCTTAAACACATTTAGAAGGCAAGTTGCAAGTGTTAATTTCAAACAGTCCAGGCATCTACCTCAAGAAGCTGGTTGAAAGAAAACCAAAAATGTACAAAGCTGTAATCAAGGCAAACAGTGGCTACTTCCAGAAATCATGAATATGAAAAATGTTTTGCTGTGTTAAACACATTCTTGCTTTGGTAGCTACTTCCATGGGTTATTTCATACTTTTGATGTCCTTCGTATTATTCTATAAAACAAAAAAATAGCGGTGAACTACAATGTGTGTCCAAATATTACTGTATTAGATTAACACAATATACTTTTTCTCTGATATGTAGACATTACATGCATGAATTATAGGAAAAGTGATCAAGAGTTTCTAAAGAATGTTTTTAATATTCAAAAGTGCACTAAAATTTAAATCCATTTTAGTTTTTACAAAATTTTGTTTTATTTAAAGTTATTGAACTGCTCACGTATGTGGACACCATGCAACAAAGGAGTAAAATGGGGTGTAAAACCACAGCTGGCAATAAGGAAAATCATATCTATTTTGGGTTATGTTTTTTTATGTAAAATTAAAATTAAGAAACAACAAAACATGCTTTAGGAACAACAGAGATGAAAAACCCAAAGTAATATTCACAGTTGTATGCATGTGTAAAGTTGGAATCGCTGCAGTACTGTTATTTTGTAGGATTACTATTGATAATATATTGGTTTTTCTGGTTATCATAATATTAATTAATTTAAATAATCTTTGATTAAATGCGATAGATATAATATCAGGTTACACAAACAAGACTTGTAATGTAATTTAAGTCCTCTGTTGCATGGTGTCCACATTCATGGACAGTAGTTTTTGGGGGGTATAAACACTACATTTCACTCTAAATTTAGGTTTACAAAACACAGAGATGTTAATCACAGTTTCCTGTTCATACTAATATTTTTTTCTACCTGTCTTGATCTTTTTGATCAGAAGGTTTTCACAGAGGTTTCATCAGCCATCTTGGATTGAGGGCTTTTGGAATACAAGATAGTAGCTACTGTTACAGTATTGATACTGGCCAAAACTGGTTTGGAGTACTCTATAATGTAACCAGAAATCGGAGTTAAATTAACACACACAAAAACTCCATTATAAGCAATATAGAAAATTACATTTAAAAACAGTAAAGGGATTTAAGGCTACATGTTGTTATCTTATTCTTAAAATGGGTCTCTTTCATCACTTATTATTTTAACTGTGTTCATTGTTTGTGTCTTTTCAGATTGCTGCATTCCAAATAACCTCCTAACCAGTTTTCCCAGTCAGCATGAACCTCAGTCTTTCTAACCAGAACATGCATAACTCCAGTGAAGGCTGCCTTGGGGACGACAAACCTGACATCATGTTGCCTTGTTTCCACAGAGCCATGTATGAGGAACCTCTGCCCTCATACTCCAGCGGATCCATCATCTCTCAGCTCCTCCGCAAGACCATCCACAACAAGAGGGCACTAGATGAAAGCCATTTCTACCTTTCCAGCTCCACCCCCGCTGACTCCAGCCAGGAGGACCAGAGCAGTGTCTCCTCAAAAGACAGCATGGTGGAAGCTCAATCCCCCAACAGTCATGCTTCTACAGGAGCCAGCGCAGAGGGGGAGCATCACGTGACTGACCACTTGCAAGCCAAGAGGGCTAGAGTGGAGAACATCATCAGGGTCATGGTGGGTTCTCCCAACAGCAGGCAGCATGGACACAGTGACACAGATACCAGAGACACGAGGGAGGCCAGAGAAGCATTCAGGGAGAACAAACGTAAGCAGAGGCTGCCTCAGTATCAGGATCACAGTGCTGGGGGGCTGCTGGGCAAAACACCTGGATGCTGCAATAGTGAAAACTGCAACACCAAGCACGAGGAGTGTCACAAGCTGAAAGAGCAGCTCCACAGCATGCAAAGGCTCCTGCATCAGCTCCAGGAAAAGTTCCTTCAAGTTTACAACCAGGAAGACAGAGATGAGATAGAGGTTGCTGCTGAGCATGACATCCCGGGTGAAAGCACTGAGGTGCAATACGTACACTCTCAAGATGATTTTAGAAAGAAGAATAGCAGGATGAGTACAGAGTATAAGGACCAAAGGAAAGTAGTAAGCTGTGTGGTACACCAGAGAGAAAGTCAGAGTCTACAGGAAACCCTTAAGCAGGAGCTCTCCAAGGCTGTTAGTGAGTGTGTGGACAGGGTGTTCAAGAAGGTGTCTTCCGCAGGGCTGGACCTCTCCTCTCAGTCACATATGTCCTCATCTCCAGAAATGCAGCTAAGCATGAGTGCAGACAGTAGGAGCAAACTGGCCAGCTCCACACAGGAACAGCCCCAGGCCGAGGAGGCTGCAGTGAAACCCCGGTCTCTGGAGTACTATGAAAACTCTGAGGCCCAAAGCCCACAGGACCAGACAGAAGCATTATCACTGGTGGTCCGCAAGCCAGCAGTGACACCCCTGAGCTCAGTCACCCCAACAGTGACACGGCCCTATCCTGTGCACCAGACATCATTTCAGTTCAATTACAGCACCCCTCTGCATGACAGCCAGATCCTCGAGCACCTTCTCAAGTATGGACCCCATTCCAGCTTTGGAGGTTTGCCTTGCATGCCCCCATCACTGGACAGGACCTCCCCAGACTCAGTGGACCTGCCCTGGGATACCATTGCTATGAGGTCCAAGGTGACATCCAGCCACCTCAGCCACCACCCTTGTCCCTCTTCCCTGGGGGCAGTGATGGTCGACAACCTGTGTCTTCCTCACGTCAAGATCGAGTGTGGTGAACTGCAGAGCATGGCTGAACGAAACCCCTACATGTCTCTTAATATATCCTTTAACTGAAATGGCATAGTCTGAGCTGAAGTGATGTTGCCTTTTGCATTTTTCTTTGTTCAAAAATGAACTGCACAGCATTGTTGTGGTTGAAATTAAGAATGATCTTGTTACTTCACTGACATAAACTATCCATCCATCCATCCATTTTCTATGCCGCTTAGTCCCAAACGGGGTCACGGGCGACATAAACCATATAAATATAAAACAATTAATACTGAATAGTGCACTTTATTTTTAAAGGTGTCATATCAAAATGTCACAATTCTGAAGTATTTTGATTACAACAAGACATATTTGATAATATCTTATATACACTGTACAGTATTTACCTAATTTTATAGAAATGCCCTGTATTTCAGCTTTTCCATTTGAACAATGGCTGGTTGAGGTTCATAGCTGCATGGGCAGTTCCAGTAACAAACTTCAAGGAGAATTTTTTTTCTTTGATCTTGCTAACCCCATAGAAAATTACAGCATCTTCTTTAATCTGAGCCGGGTAATGACTTTAAGTCTAGAAAAAGACAAATAAAAAGGAATACAAGGCTTTGATAAGAATTGCCAGGAACAAAAGCCAATTTTTCAAAGGCAGAGAAAGCACTGGTTTCTGTTTCAGGAAGTGGCGTTTTTTCAGACTTGAAAAGATGCAGGACCTATTTCTCCATCATCAGAGTGATAGGGGTGCATCTAAAAGGTCACATCTGAGTGCTGGTGAAAAGCACAAGTGCCTCCCAACCATAACACTTGAGCTCTTGTCTTGAGCATTTGTTGTTGGATACCTTTGTCAGACTGTACATGATTGAAATAGAGTGCAAGATAACAGTGTTTTTGGCTCATAGGAGCTCAAAGAAAATTACTGAGACAAGTTGTTCTGTTCAGGGAAAAAGCCGGTGGTCAGAAAGTTAAATAACTTTTTTTTAAATGTTGTGATATGATTAGAATAATATATACATTTCATCATTTTTTAAATGTAAGTAAATTAAAGTAATTTATTATCACTCATAAAAAATGATCCTTTAAAAGGATCTTAAAATCATCACAGAAGAGCTTTGTTTCCTAAACCCTGTTGTCACAAGGCACTGGAAAGGAATATAATGTGGTGCCTTTATGCACTTAACCCTCCTGTTATGTTGTGGGTCAAATTGACCCACGAACATAACAGGAGGGTTAATTTATCTTTACAGCGCAAACAGCTCTGCTTCTCCCTGAACATTACTACATACATTTTTTGTCCAAACTTGCTTTTTTCAAAAGTAGGGTTCCTTAATAAATGTATGGTGTGATGGCCTGATAAGGAAATATTATGACTACAGAGGAAATGCTCCTGAGCATTTTATAATAACATTTACACCATTTAAATTGTGTACTACATAACCAAAAAAATAAATATATAGAATCTGTAACTTTTACTTTTTGTAACATTTAATCAGATTTTCCATTTTTGCATTTTTTCTTTTAGTAAAACAATATATTGTAACATATGGCATCTTTAAATCAACTCAATTATATTAGAAGATCAGCTTCTTTTTCCAAACATTTCAAAACAAGCTGTCTTAACTGCCAGACATGAAGTGCTTTGCTCTCTAATTAAAAATCCCTAATCTAATTCCTAATTCTGTTTTGCCAATAAGCACATGTTAGGGTCATTATTGACTCCCTGGTTAATGCCGAGCTGTTCTTTAGTGAAATTCAATTTAGCTGAACATAATACTCTGATCTGCTATCACTTTGCACAAAACTGTATGCTGTGTGTTATATTTAATTGTCAAGTTTTTCTGCCTTAATGTGGATGTGAACATCCAGGAGGGTCTCACCCCAAGTCATCTGAAGAAGGCAAAGCTCATGTTCTTTTACACCCGCTACCCCAGCTCCAATGTGCTGAAAACCTTCTTTCCTGATGTCAAGGTAATACACATTTTTTTAAAAAAGTTCAGTTTTATTTAATGTGTCAAACAACCTGCAGAATTGTTTGTCCTGTGTTTAACTCCCCGCTGTCTACTTGTCGGTGTGTGTCTGGGACAGAAAAATCAGCAGTGTGTTGGAGGAGAGAAACAAAAACACTGAGGGTTTAAATAACAAAGCCACTGAGCTGCTAGTATGTCCTGGGGGCAAAGAGAAATACAGGGGCATTCTCTCTTTAAAAAAGCCTCTCCAGTCAGCAAATGGAGCGACAAAGGACTCTGTAGGAGAGGCATTGCTATTGAGTGTCAACACAGAGTTAGTATTAAAGACTTGTGCGGTGGTAAGCTGGCCCTAAACACAACATCCTGTGTATTGTGGCCTTGGTCTTGTGTCATGCCTCCCCTACTATCTCCTCTTTTTGTGTTTTCTCTTGTCTCATTACCTACATCTTTTTGTTAGCGCTTCTTATTCATCCCATTTATCCCCTCATTCTCATTGTGCCTTCATGTTTGTAGCAGCATCTCCCACTCTGTCCCACCTCCCTTCCAGTTTTCTCTGAACACCTCTCGACTTTCTCTTCCATCTCCTCTTCTGGATCTGTGAGCCAGTGCAGGCCAGTGCCTTTCAATTTGCTCTGACCCCCAGGGGTCAGGGGGGAGGATGCTGTTGCTGCAGCCCTGCGAACATCTCCTCCTTGCTTACAATCCTGTGGTGGGAAGTGGCACTGAACAAAAGACCACCTAATCCCAGTGTCTGATTCCATCCTATCAGTCTGAGTCAATGAGAGGGAAGCTTCCTTCTGTCCTAACGCTGCCTCTTTCTCACCCACCACACCAGAGAGAAGAGCCGTCTCTGATGCCCGCCCGCTCCTTAGGCATTTTTTTTTCTGTCTTTCTGGATGACAAGATAGAATAACAAGACTAATATCAAGACTGAGTTTAGAAATACAGAGGCCTGACAGATGTTTTTTCACCCTGGACATTGGTGGGAAAAGATCAGAGCAAATATTGTTGTGACAGACCTTTAGGTGGAATTTTGCCCTATAGGTCCTAAATTCAGGGGTTTTTGTTTTTCAGTGTAGAGGTTCTAATGCCAAAACATCAGATAGACATTTTATTTGTAAATGAGGAGCATGGAGATATAAATATTTTTTCATTTCTCATTGGAGTCTCATATTGAATTCTGACAGCACATATTTCATTTCAAGCATGACCTCAGTTTTTATTCGCCTTCTTTAACAACAAGCTATTAACTGTCTTGCTAAAAACTGAGACATTAGATGCACAGATGCTTGTCACTGTATTTCAGTGACAGAACTGTCCCTTGAACTTATGAAGCCAAGTTGCTTTTTCCCCCGTTTCCATTTCCAGTTCAACCGTTGCATCACCTCTCAGCTGATCAAGTGGTTCAGTAACTTCAGGGAGTTCTACTACATCCAGATGGAGAAGTACGCCCGCCAGGCCATTGTTGACGGCATCCGTGATATCACAGACCTCACAGTTAGCAGGGACTCAGAGCTGTTCCGGGCACTGAACATGCACTACAATAAAGCCAATGACTTCCACGTAAGTCAGTCATCGGTCGTCCTCTTTCATGATGCACTTTGTATTATTTGCATAAAGCAATATCTGATTTTTGCCTATTTATATAAACTCTGTCCAGCAGTAGCAAAATCTATACATTCTATATAGCACCACCTCTAAGCTTGCTAAGTGATACAGTGTGTCTTGTGTTTTTTTAACCTGTTAGTGTACCTTGGTCATTTTATGGGGCGTTATGTGCAGGGCTATTTCTGAGTACTTGCTAACATGCTATCTAAGGAAATACTGTGTCTAGCCAAGAAATAGTTTGCCACTTAAACGGACATATTCATCACTAACCTGATGAAGTAGAGCTCTACCATATGTCTGTGGTCATGTATGTTAGTGTGCCAAGTTGTGTGTCACACTGCACCTGCAGCCGGTCAACCTTTACAGCCATTAGCTAAACTCTAGAGCGATGCTTTATCAAACTGTGGGAAGAGGAAGCCGCAAAATCCCTTTAAAACAACTCAGGATTAGAGGACCAGTACGCCTCAATGAGGCCGAGATTGCTACTGATGCAGAATGCTGAGAAAGATGCTGTGGATTCCGAGGGAGAAGGCCATTTGGTGGGAAAGAGGCGAGACAGTTTTCTTTACGTCGAGACCAAGACATTCATTTCCCAGGGATGCTTTTGTGTCAGGAGATGAGGGGAAAGAAAACTAACTTATGCCAACAACTGTTGTGCTAAATGGCCAGTGGATGGGAAACAAGGGCTATCAGAGGGAGGAGGTTTCTCCCAAAATCCATTGCATCTAGACTTCATTTGTTGAGATGATTTTATGGATCCTTGTTTAAGGGCCACTACCAGATTTTGACCCCAACTATAACTATACCATACCTTTACTTAACCGCAGATATCAATAAGTTTATACCTACACATGTCGAGCTCAAGTCTTTCACATGAATATAATTATTTTAAACTTTAGCTTCCTGCCTGCAGGATCCATAACCACACTTTGTTGCTTGGTTGTATTCCTGGTATAGCACTTCACTAGTAGTTAGTTAAGCCCAAGAAAACAAGAGTAGCTAATCAAAATGCATGTGTATTGGTTTAAAATTGCAGAGAACAAAAAGATGAGCTCCTTTCATTACTTTGAATGTTTGACAAACAGTTTTGGTTTTTAACAAAGTGCAGAGTGTTATTTCTTAATAAGATATCAGAAAAAGGTTGTAACTAGAATGACCTCACTTGTAAATTTTTACTTTTTACTTCTTTTCCAGGTTCCTGACAGATTCCTGGAGGTTGCTGAAATCACCTTGCATGAGTTTTACAATGCCATTTCTGCAGCCAAAGATTCAGACCCCTCTTGGAAAAAGGCCATATACAAGGTGATCTGTAAACTGGACAACGACGTCCCAGAGGAGTTCAAGACATCTTCATATTTATAGGCTGAAGTGGAGAAATGTACAGGTGAAGGAACTGGTGTTATTTTATTTGCAACTTAACAGTATTATTTCATCATTTCTTGTAATGAGCTTAGTGAAGTGAAATGTAGATGTTTCCTGAATAATCATTTTGTAAATCTGTAAAAACACACATGGTTTTAGAAGTTAAGAATAGTCTAAAATATTGGGTAGTTTGCTTTACCAAAAAGTAATTACTGATAAATATTAATGTTCCTGTGGATTATTCTACTGTTTAGTATTTAATCCTATAATCTTCTTCAATACATTAGCTGTAGAGAATTACTGAGTTTTAGGAGTGCAGAAATGTTATTAAAAATGTTATTATTTATAGTGTAGCTTTAGTTGAACTGAATTTTTTTTTTGGCAGTTATTGTCAGTATTAGTTTGCTTTTAAATTCCACTTTTTTCATACCAGCATGTTGTGTAAATTTTCAAAGTGCTGCTGTTGTTTGTTGTATAATGATTTATAAGTATGCTGCAAATTATTATCTTGACAGAATGTGCATTTAAAAATAATGCAACGGGCTCTGATGATTTATAAAGGTATAAAGGCTGTGTAAAGTACAATAAGTTTTAGATATTTCAGTCACAAACATTGAACTGGATGACTATTGAAATTAAAGATGAACTAAATTATAACATAAAACTAGTGTGTTATGGTTTTCTCTGGCAGTGTTTATAAGAAACAAGGCCCACAAGGTAAATGCTTTATTTTTGGTTGTAAATGTTTAACTGTGTGCAAAGCCCCTAAGGTGCCTCTAATCCTTGTCCAGCAGCCAGCTGCTAAATGTCCCCCAAACTATGCTGTTCGCATTGTTCACCGAGGCCAATTCAAGTCAACTTTCTAAGGCCTGCATTCATTGTGTGGCCGATGCGGATGCGAACAAATGCCACGTCTTAAAAACAGCCACAATGCATTCTCTACTAATGACTAATGCCCAAGGTGACCTCATATCACAGTTGTGCCACCAAAGCAAAATTCCACAAATCCGCTGACTCTTTCTTCCACTCAAAGTACACTCATCACAAACACACACACACACAAGCATGTCTGGCATATCACAAAATTCACAGATGATGTCTTGAGCTTTATATAAACCATCACTGCAGTGAATTAAATGTGATAAATGTTAATTCTCTGTCAATTGTATATTTCACCATGAATGAGCATACAATAGTAAATCATTGTAATTTGGGTTTTAATCACACTGTGAGAACTGTTATTGTATGTTCACGGGTGATTTTATGACTGACAACCTACAGCACAGAAATCCTGCAATGTGCCTTTCACAACAAAGCACGTAACACCATCAGTGCTCCAAACCAAACATTTAATTGGAAAACCTGTTAGGTGCCCAAGCACCAATTACATCAGAAATGATAACATTAAGGAAATTAAAACATTAGTTGGACTGGTTAATGACAAAGACTGGAGACAATAAACCTCAGTACTCTTTTAATAAACTTTTTTTTTTAATTAGATCAGTCTACTTTAGTAAATCAATTTACATTCTCAGTTTAATTAAAATGCCTCTTGAACCAAAATGCTTTGATCCAATTAATTTGTTGTGTGACATTTTCTGAACAAGGCCTCTGTTATAATGAAAGAAAAGAAAACAAAACAAAAAAAATACTTCAGCTGTTTAACTGCCTCTGGCTGACAAACAGTACGACATGAAATTATGCTCTGTATTAGAGAATCTACAACGAAGCATACTTTATAATGAAGATGGAATAAAAGTTAAAGGCAGCGGGAGGTGATCAAATTAAAACACTGTGTATGAACAGATGCTCTGTGTTGTGCGTTTAACTTCTTGAAAATTCAATGAAATACTAATGTTGATGAAGCGACTGTTGTCTTAGAGTCTCGCACTGAAAGCGACAAAACGAAGAGAATTTATATCAGAGCCAGTTTCCTAGTTGTTGAAGATGAATGAACGTGATCAGAGAAAAGAGTAACAGCATCATCTAGTGATTCTCCACTGTAATACATCACGCTCCACTCGTCTCACTGTCAGCTGACTCGTTTTTGATGAGTTTGATTCTTAGTGATGATGAAATCTTTAAACTGAAATAAACTTTATAAATCAGTGTTTTAAGCTATTAAATATGCAGCAACGGATTAGGTTGAGCACAAAAATTTCCAAACAGGGGTGCACTTGTCATTGTAAACCGCTGCCGGGATTTTTCCTCACAGCAAAGACTCCAGGGAGGCGGACACTGTGAAATCTTTTGTAATCATCAGCATCATGTTTTCTACATTAGTGATTTAGGAAAGTGTGGCTGAATGTGCTCGGTGCATGTCTGTGAGTAAGAGAGTGTTGTAATATTAATGAAAAATGTAGCCTGCCTTCTCAGCAGGGTCCTGAAAAGACAAAGCCAGGATCAAACACCCAAGGAGCTGTGGGAGTGGGGCACTGGGACAGTCCCTCTGTTTAATCTCTTGCTCAGAGATAGAGGCTGATGCTGGGAGGGCGCTGGGAGCAAATGGGAGTGCAACTTGAGGATGGAGGCTGCTGACTTTAGGCTGCCCTTCAGACATCCACTTCTTGGTGTAGTTTGGTGTGATCACCAGTAAATCTTTATTAATTTTAATTGGAGCCCCCATTTAAAAGAGCAATTAAAGCGGATTAATCGAGCCCATCCCGTATAATGTCTTCTGTTAATTAGTTTGTCAGCACTGTTTTAATATCGCTTAATGACTTCATATTTCAGGGATGACATTAAAGGGATGCTAAAGGAAAAGAAATGGCCTTATCACAATGCACTGCTTTAATGGGAGATGTCCCCCACCAGTGGGCAAGGTCAGGCCTAAGGCCCCTGGGGAGGAGGAGGCTTCAGGGTGGCGCCGAGGCAGCCACCTTTAGGGAGACACTGCCTCACACACACTGCCACACAGTCAGTGTCACTGCTGCAGAAGCTACTGCAAGGTTCGATTTTGTTGGTGTCAGAGGTTTACATGAAAGATTCTGAAGGAAATACTAGCTCTGGTGGTTTGGGTAATACATTATAACATAACAATACATTGTACACTGTAACTGCCACCTATTTCAAATGTAACAGTGTTATTTTTTGACAGCTGCTCTTTGGGGTTGGCCACCAAGAATTCCACTAGATTGTATTAATTCTGTGCAAACATATTGTACTTAAGTACAGTTTTGAGGTGCCTGTACTTTACTTGAGTATTTTCATTTTGTGCTACTTCTACTTCACTTCATTTTAGAAGAAAATACTGTGCTAGTTAAAACTAGCTCCCCCTTTAGCAGCTGCAACATTAAATGTAATGTACACAATAATGCATCAATAAATATAATCCAATAATATGATACACTGACATTAAATGTGCCGTTCTGCATACTGTATTTTATATTTAGTACTTGAAGTATATTTTAATGCTAATACTTTAGTACTTTTACTTAAGTAACATTTTGAATCCAGGACTTTTACTTGTAATGGAGTATTTTTACTTTGTGGTACTGCTACTAGAGGATCTGAGTACTTCTTCCCCTACTGGTTAGGCCTGGGTAAAGTATCAGGGTAAAATAATACCCAATGACCCAGTGTTTGTTATGTATGTGATGATTCTGTGGTGTTTGCTCTCTTTCAGACACTGTACTAAAGCTAGCAGTCATCAAAGGCGTAGAGAAGATACTTGTTCTACTGAACTGTTTCTGTTCCAAACTGTAATACTTGATGTTTGAATGGCTCATAATGAACTTCCTGGAGTACCTTAAGACTAGGCCAAGAGCGTCTTAAAGTTTTTTTTTCCCGCATCCACTTTTTACTGTACATTTTTATAGATTTTGTAATACTTTCATATATCTTATTTGTCAGTGGCTATTGCTATTTCCAACTTCAGGCTGTGTGAGCTGGTTTTCTCATCAGTGTCAGAGTGAGTCCTCCAGGCTGGTCTGTTTTGGATATCACTCCTAGGTCATGTTTATTTTAAATTCAGCAACTGTTGCCTTCTTTTGTTCTAAGAGATTGGAATAGTTTGTCAGAATAAATCCTTATAACTGATACCCATGGTGTCATTTTGGTCAAATGGGTGCATGTGTATATTGTGTGAGAGTGGTCATGATGAAGAGTCATGAATAAAATCCCTATGAAAAGATTCTATGGTTTGGAAAAGCTTCTGTAGGAAACCAGCCAAAGCTAAATGTTCACAGATACAAATAAATGTATCTGCTGTCTAAAGGACCTCGGTCATTCTAATGTCATACCTATATAATGTAATGATGTACTGTACAGTGTTCCCTTGTGAAACACCAGATGTTCAACAGAAGCACCAGGAAACTGAAAATGCTCCTCTGGCGAACATTAACATAAAGTTGAGCTCCTTTTTAAACAGAGATTTGATGTACTGTAACAGCACCTTACATGGTGCCTGTACATTAGCCTGTGCCGCTCCTTTTACAGTGACACTGAGCCAAAGGTGGCCCGGCAGCAAGAAGCTGATCAAAACCAACAGCGCATCCTCCTTATTGCAGCCCTGGCTGGTGTGCATCCCTGCTAATTTGAGTGTGCCCTCACACCTCCACTCTCCTCAGCAGATTCATAAATCTCATTCCCATTATCCCGCTAATTAGCCAGGATTACAGGAGCATGTAATGCCCCCGCTTCCCAATAGATTGATTGGAGGACGGTCTCTTTGTTTTGAAATCACTTCCTGATTGATGTACAGAGCCCTAGTTTGCAATTGTAATGGCCCAGATGTTAACAATCAAATGCATTTCCGCTCCAGGAAGTAACAGTCTGTCATGGAAGAGGATCCAGCCGAGCGTGTAACGACACATCACAGGAGTGTGGGGAAGGAGGGCCTGCGGTGGAGGGGAATGGAAGGATGGAAGGGGGGTTAGGTACTGGAGCCCTGGATTGAATTACAGCTGAGAAAGGGCATAATGTCCATGCCTATACTTCCATCTGAACTGTAACTAAGGCTTCTGCAGTAGAGAAATGATAAAAGTTTAGCTTTCTCGTGCCTCCTTATGGTCCTGAATTAGCTTTTCATTGTTTACCCTCTTATTCTTTTAAATTGCAGGTGTTTGAAAAGCTCCTCCTTCAATTTGCTCATTGTAATTACAAATAGCCATATTTAGAGTCTCAAATAAACTGGTTTTGTTTTATAAGACATACAAAACCCTTTTCCAAAACTTCATTAACACATCAGTGATGGTACCAGTGCCAGTTTCCACAGTGCCCCTTTTCAGAAAGCAATCCATTTTGTAAACAGTAGAGGGCACTATTGTCTAACCAAACTGACTCCTCTTCTTTTCCTCCTCATTCCTTTTTTCTTACCCTTCACCAATAAATCACTTTCCCGGATAGTTAATGGATATAGAAGCTGATCATGAGTGAGCTATCTGTGGGGCGATAATTTAAGTGAAGATCCCCGCACTGATTGTAGTGAAATGTTATTTATTTCAACAATAATGCAGGACACAAAGGGGGAATCTGGGCAAGATTACCAGCTAGGGTACGCTAGAGTGCTCATCTCCAATGGAGCAGTGTGTAAATTGGGTTCACTTTCCCCAGTGAAAATACAGACTGCAGTTTATTTCAACTTTATGCACATGGAAGGCTGTGCTTCTCTCTCAAGGGTGGCTGGGGACTTTGAGATGGC